CATAAAAAATTTAACATGGAGGGAAAAATCTTGACTTAGGTATAAGGGAATTTAAATGTAAACCTATAACGATTAACACCTCAGCTGGATCAGGATTCCAAGGACTTTACTAGCCTGCATATGAATGGGAAAGAAAGAAGTGTGCTTAAATTAGAAAGTAACACATGGCAAAGTACTAATTTACTAATTCCAGTTGATAAAATAATGTTATTTTAAAATCTGTAAGTATCAGACAAAGAGCAGCTACTTCAGGGGTTTCCATACAATATACCTTACAAGGGGAGAAACTTGTTGAAGGATAATCAAGATAGGAAAGTATAGATTATAAAGTGTAGTCGAAAAATCTCATCTGCCTGCATAAAGTCTCCTTCCATGGTCTTGGGTGGAGCTGTCTGCTTCTGTCATAGAACTCTGCTCCTGTTTACTGGGGTTTGTTAAGTGCAAGTTGGTTCCGACTCACAGTGACCCTATATACAAAAAAACAAAACACTGCCTGGTCCTGAACCATCCTCACAATTGTTATGCTTGAGCCCACTGTTGCAGCCACTGTGTCAATCCATCTAATTGAGGGTCTTCTTTTTCGCTGACCCACTACTTTACCAACCATGATGTTCTTCTCCAGGGACTGATCCTGATAACATCCAAAATATGTAAGATGTAGCATCACCATCCTTGTTTCTAAGGAGCATTCTAGGTGTACTACTTCCAAGACAGATATGTTTGTTCTTTTGACAGTCCACGGTATATTCAATATTCTTCGCCAACACAATTCAAAGGCATCAATTCTTCTTCCGTCTTCCATATTCATTATCCAGCTTGCTTATGCATATGAGATGACTGAAAACATCATAGCTTGGATCAAGCGTATCTTAGTCTTCAAGGTGGTATATTTTCTTTTAAACACTTTAAAGAGGTCTCTTGCAGCAGATTTGCCCAATGCAGAGTCTTGATTTCTTGACTGCTGCTTCCATGGGTGCTGACTGTGAATCCAAGTAAAAGGAAATGCTTGACAACTTCAATCTTTTCTCCATATCATGATGTTGCTTATTGGTCTGGTTGTGAGGATTTTTGTTTTCTGTTGAGGTGAAATCCATACTGAAGGTTGTGGTCTTTGATGACCAGTAAGTACTTCAAAGTTCTCTTCACTTTGAGGAAGCAAGGTTGTGTCATCTGCATAATGCAGGTTGTTAATGAGTCTTCTTCCAATCCTGATGCCCCGTTCTTCTTCATAGAGTTCAGCTTCTCAGATTCTTTGTTCAGCATACACATTGAACAGGTATGGTGAAAAGGTACAACCCTGATACACACCTTTCCTGACTTTAAACCATGGAGTATTCCCTTGCTGTTTGAATGGCTACCTCTTGATGCACGTACAGGTTCCCATTCTTTGCAATGTTATCCATAATTTATGATCCACACAGGTAAACGTCTTTCTGGTATTCTCTGCTTTCAGCCAGGATCCATCTGGCATCAGCTATGATATCCCTGGTTCCGTGTCCTCTTCTGAATCCTGCTTGAATTTTTGGCAGTTCCCTGTTGATATACTCTGCAGTCACTTTTGAATGATCTTAAGCAAAATTTTACTTTTGTATAATATTAACATTGTTCAATATTTTCCACATTCGGTTGATCACGCTTCTTGGGAACAGGCACAAAAATGGATCTATGGTTGGCCAGGTAGCTATCTTCCAAATTTCTGGGCATAGACAAGCACTTCCAGTGCTGCATCCATTTGCTGAAACATCTCAACTGGTATTCTGTCAATTTCTGGAGCCTTGTTTTTTGCCAATGCCTTCAGTGCAGCTTGGAACTCTTCCTTCAGTATCAGATTCCTGATCATATGCAACCTCCTGAAATAGTTGTCAACCAATTCTTTTTGGTAAAGTGACTGTGTATTCCTTCCATCTTCTTTTTATGCTTCCTGTGTCATTTGATAGTTTCCCCATAAACTCCTTTAACACTGCAACCCGAGGCTTGAATTTTTTCTTCAGTTCTTTCAGCTTGAGAAATGCTGAGCATGTTCTTCCTTTTTGGTTTTTTATCATCTGGTCTTTGCACGTATCATTTTGTTTACCTTCTCTTCTCAAGCTGCCCTTTGATATATTCTGTTCAGCTCTTTTACCTCATCATTTCTTCCTTTTGCTTTAGCTACTCAATGTTCAAGACCAAGTTTCAGAGTCTCTTCTGACATCCATCTGGGTCTTTTCTTTCTTTCCTGTCTTTTTAATGACCTCTTGCTTTCTTTGTTATGATGTTCTTAATGTCATTCCATAACTTGTCTGTCTTAGGTCATTAGTGTTCAATGCATCAAATTTATTCTTGTGATGGTCTCTAAATTCAGGTAGCAAATACTCAAGGTCACACTTTTGGCTGTTGTGGACTTGCTCTAGTTTTCTTCAGTTTCAACTTCAACTTCCATATGAGCAACTGATGGTCTGTTCCGCAGTGGTCCCTGGCCTTGTTCTGATACTGAGTTTTTCCACTGACTCTTTCCACAGACATAGTCAATTTGATTCCTGTGTATTCCATCTGGGAATGACAACTTGAAGAATGGCATTGCATTCATTGTCAAAAAGAACATTTCAAGATCTATCCTGAAGTACAATGCTGTAATAGGATAATATTCATATATCTACAAGAAAGACCAATCAATACAAAGATTGTCCAAATTTACACACCAACCACTAAGGCCAAAGATGAAAAAACTGAAGATGTTTACCAACTTTTACAGTCTGAAATTGATCAAACATGCACTCATGATGCACTGATAATTACTGGTGATTGGAATGTGAAAATAAGAAACAAAGAAGGATCTGTAACTGGAAAATATGGCCTTGGTGATAGAAATGATGCCGCAGATTGCATGACAGAATTTTGCAAAACCAATGACTTCTTTATTGGATAGGTGAATTTAACTTTGAGTGTTCTTGTTGGCTGGACAGTCCAAACTGGAACTACAGTCTTCTTTAATAGGGAGAAGTGTATTCAAGTCTTAACTCCCTACAATTTAGCAGCATAAAGATTAGTAAGGAGAACTACATACAGTCTTTTCCAATGAGGCTCCAGGGAATCTTTTAGCTGATGTCCTTTTTTAATATACATAGTTCTCTGGAACAGTATCAGATTTTGGGTTTTTGATTTTGGTTAAGACTATTTTACCCTGTGAAAATATTCCTTACAGTAGTGAATTAAGGATTGACAATATTTAACAATATTAGAGTGGTATAAATGACATAAAAGAGAGCCCTGTGGCTTAGAAGAACTACTTTTTATCAGAGTCACCTCAGAATTCATTTCTTGGAGTTCACACGTGGAATTATTTAAACCATTATAGTATCTTTTAATCTATAAGATATTCTGTAAACAGCATAATAATATCAGTTATTGAAATAACTTACATTAAAATAAGGAAAGGGAAATAAAAATGTTTTTATATTTAAAAATGAGAACACTGAACATCAGTAATATTTTCATAAAAACCTTTTGGTAGTTGTTTTACTCAGTCTCGTGTACCTAATCTTGGTTCTACGTTATTCTGCATTGGCAGCAACTTGAAAAACCTACACAAGTTTCCACACAAGAATTCTAAGAAATCTCGATCCAGTCCAATAGCATCCATGTCTGAAATATTATAATCCTTTATATAAGTTTATACAGTCTATGTTGAAACATCATATTCAAGCATTCTTAGCAAGTCAGCAAACTAAAACTTATCTGTAAATGACAAAACTTGACATGGCCACAATTAACTTATAATACTTCTTAAAAACTATAGATACAAACAGAAAAAAGTCTAACAATATAACCTCCCAACACTGGGGTAATTGGAAATTATGGGACAGACTGATGTAGTTAACATCAGTAGCTGACATTTGATGACACTGCTAAGGTATGCATATCAGAGGGAACAGCAGTCGCCAGTAACTGCAGCCTCAGCTCCTTGTCTGGCACACACTCCAGGAACCACAGAATTACCAGGACACTCTCAAAATACAGGCTCTAGGCCTGTGATGGACAGAAGTTTCATTACCGTGAACCCCTAAGAGGAACCTTCCTTTCATGCAAACCCGCTTCTCACAGCATCACTTGCTTGGGGCATTTTTGTGAGGTGGTGAGAATTTGGGTTAAAACTTTGCAGTTTTCTCATCAGTAAACCAAGAATCATAACAGTTATGGAGAATAAATGACAGAAGTAATGGAAAAAAAATGCTCAGTACAGCACTATACATACAATATAATTGATATTCTCTAAGCAAACACAGCTTTGTATATAAAGAAGGCTAAAAGAAATTACCCAAAAAGCATGAATGGTGGGATACTGAGTGATTTTTCAGTTTTGCTTATCATTTCCCATTGAAATTAAATATTTTATAATGAGAACATACTACGTTATAATCTGACAAACTTTAAAAATACACTTGATAAAAACAAAACACATTTCAAAATACCAATGGGTTGATGACACTTTGTAATAGAAACAATCTGTATATAAAAGAACTAAGATAACATTTTGATACTTATCCGAAGTCATGTGATATAACTGGAAAGTAACTTGGCTTACACAGTCTCTGAATGTGAGGTCTCATACGGCCCTAACAAGAAACAGTGAAGGATTCATTCATCTTTTACATTCATAGGATCAATCCACAGTGTAATATTTCATGTTTTCGAAGAACTCCAAAACATTTGTAGATGTTCCCATATTATTTACATATACACAATTTTTCAGAAGTTTGACTTCTCACATATTGGTGTTGTTCTTAGGTGCCGTTGAGTCAGTTTCAACTCATAGTGACCCTATATACTACAGAACAAAACACTGCCCAGTCCTGTGCCATCATTACAATTGTTATCTTGAGTCCACTGTTGCAGCCACTGTGTCTATCCATCTCGAGCGTCTTCCTCTTTTTCACTCACCCTCTACCAAGCATGATGTCCTTCTCCAGGGACTGATCCCTCCTGATAATATGTCCAAAGTATGTGAGACAAAGTCTTGCCATCCTTGCTTCTAAAGAGCATTCTGGCTGTACTTCTTTCAAAACAGATCTGTTCTTCTGGCACTCCATAGTATATTAAATATTCTTTGCCAATACTATAATTCAAAGGCATCAATTCTTCAGTCTTATCGTCCATCTTTCGCATACATAAGAAATGACAGAAAAACACCATGTTTGGGTCAGGCACACCTTAGTCCTTAAAATGACATCTTTGCTTTTTAACACTTTGAAGAGACCTTTGGCAGATTTCACAAATGCAATGTGTCATTTGATTTCTTGACTGCTGCTTCCATGACTGTTGATGGCAGATCCAAGTAAAATGAAATCCTTCACAATTCACATATTTAGCAAAAACAATTAGTGAATGTTTTCACATATGCATGAATCCTCAGGTCTTGGGAAGTGCAAGAAAGCAAAACCTTTTACATATCACTTTCTTTACACTCCATGGCTTTTCTCCAATGTGTTTTTCTTCAGGTTTTTTAAAAGGGATTACCAAAAGCCTTCCAATATTACCTACACACATACTGTTTCCTTGTAGCGTACCTTCTCACATGTTATCAAAAGGGTGAGCGAAAACTAAAGTGTTCCTTCGTTTCTTGAATAAGACATCTCTCTACTGTGAGTTCTTATTTTACTGAAAAATGGGGAATAATTAAAGGCTTTCTCATATTCCTTACATTCATTAAGGCTTCTAGCCACTGTGAGCCCTTGTTTAGTGAGGCATGAGGAATAACTACACTTTACACACTCTTTACGTAAATTTTTTTCCACTAGAGCTTCTTTTGTATTCCTTGAGGTAAAAACGAATAGCAAAGACTTTCCCACATTCCTTACATTCATAAGGCTTCTCTCCACTTTTCACTATTCTTATATGGTTAGTAACGTATGAGGACTAAGGCCTTCTAGCATTCTTAATACTCATAAGGCTTCTCTATACTGTGAACTAATCTATAGTTAGTGAGGGACGACGACTGACTAAAGGCTTTCCCACATTTCTATCATAAAGCCTATCTCCATTGTGAGTTCTAACATGTTTACGGAGAGATGAGGAAGAACGAAAGGCTTTTGCACACTCCCGACATTCATAAGGTCTCTCTCCACTGTGAGTTCTTATATGTCTAGTGATGGATGAGTAATCACTAAAGGACTTCCCACATTCCTTACACTCATAAGGCCTGTCTCCACTGTGCGTTCTTATATGGCTAGTGAGATGTGAAGACTGACTAAAAGTTTTCCCACATTCCTTACACTCATATGGCCTGTCTCCACTGTGTGTTCTTATATGGCTAGTGAGGTGTGAAGACTGAATAAAAGATTTCCCACATACCTTACATTCATAAGGCCTGTCTCCACTGTGAGCTCTTTCATGTCTAGTGAGTTGTGAACACTGACTAAAGGATTTCCCACATTCCTTACATTCGTAAGGTCTGTCTCCACTGTGTGTTCTTATATGGCTAGTGAGGTGTGAGGACTGACTAAAAGCTTTCCCACATACCTTACATTCATAAGGTCTGTGTCCACTGTGAGCTCTTTTATGTCTAGTGAGTTGTGAACACTGACTAAAGGCTTTCCCGCATTCCTTACATTCATAAGGCTTCTCTCCACTGTGAGCAGTTACGTGTCTAGTGAGATATGAAACCTGACTAAAGGCTTTCCCACATTCCTTACATTCATAAGGTCTCTCTCCACTGTGAGTTCTTATATGATTACGGAAGGATGAAGAAGAACTAAATGCTTTCCCACATTCCTTACATTCATAAGGCCTCTCTCCACTGTGAGTTCGTATATGTGTAGCAAGGAATGAGGAACGACTAAAGGCTTTCCCACA